TCTGTCTGTCTGTCTGTCTGTCTGTCTGTCTGTCTGTCTGTCTGTCTGTCTGTCTGTCTGTCTGTCTGTCTGTCTGTCTGTCTGTCTGTCTGTCTGTCTGTCTGTCTGTCTGTCTGTCTGTCTGTCTGTCTGTCTGTCTGTCTGTCTGTCTGTCTGTCTGTCTGTCTGTCTGTCTGTCTGTCTGTCTGTCTGTCTGTCTGTCTGTCTGTCTGTCTGTCTGTCTGTCTGTCTGTCTGTCTGTCTGTATCTATCATCTATCGTCTGTCTGTCTGTCTGTCTGTCTGTCTGCCTGCCTGCCTGCCTGCCTATCTAATCTATCTATTCTATCGTCTGTCTGTCTGCCTGTCTATCTATCTATCTATCAAGTTCAAGTTCAAGTTCAAGTTCATTTTATTTGTATAGCACATTTACAGCAGCCGCTAGGCTGACCAAAGTGCTTTACAGAAGAGAAATATATAAAAACATACACAGAAAACAAGCCAAATAAAAATATGAACAACCCATTAAAAAATTACCGAATAACAGTAATCAATACACTAAGGAAAACAGATAGGTTTTTAGCAGGGACTTAAAGACAGGCAGAGAAGGGGCCATTCTAATCTCTAAAGGCAGGGTATTCCAAAGCCGTGTGCTCTACGCTTCAGTCTAACATGTGAACTACCCACAAGGCCTTAGGCTTCTAGATGGAGTGTATAAATGAAGGAGTTCAGAGAGGTAGACAGGAGCTAGGTTATGTAACGATTTATAAACAAAGAGTAGAATTTTGAAGTCTATTCTCTGATATACGATTCTAAATTATAGGCATTTTATCTGCTCCATGAAAAATTCTACACAGGCTGCCTTATGATCCAAAGTAATAGAGAATATTTTGCGCGTCCTCCAGTCCGGTGTGCGTCACTGTCGAGCCGAGCGGACACCGGAAGTGAGGTTTCTCCGCGTTCAGTGTGTTGTGGTTATCGGCGTTTTCATTTATAAACTGGATTTCGTTGATAGTTTGTTGTTATTTCTCCGAGTGTAAGAGCGCTGCGCTTTAGTGCGCACTTTTATTCCCGCGGAGGAGTAACTTTATCACGGCTCTTCCGCCAGCCGCAGCGCGTGAGAGACACACAGAGGAGCTAAATAGAGTAATATTATAGAATTAGCTGATTAATTCGTGTCGAAATGAGTTTAGCCAGCAGCAGAGAGCAGCGCAGCACCGCGGGAAACCGCATGTCCAAACTACTGGACGCAGAAGAAGAAGATGAGTTCTACAAGACAACATACGGAGGATTCAATGACGTGAGTATTGTGTGTAAGAATGTAATATTCCAGTATCTGATGTAAAATCTATACTGAATATGTACATTAATAATAAATGGCGAATGGAATGGAATGAATGCATATACAACAAACTATATGAGGTGAATCCAGTAGTAAATGAAAGAAGTAATTACTGTTTTGAAAATAGATATGACCAGGTTGTATATACAAGATGTTGCTGCTGATATAGTGTTAAAACATAAATAAATAAAAACATTTTAATAAATATTTAAAATATATACATTTAATTTAAATTTTTTTATATTCGTATATCATTTATATCTATTTACATTTTAATAAATATTTAAAATATATAAATATCTCATATACATTTCTTATACGAAGTGTTTGCGTGTATAATTTTTTATGTGTAGTGTATTTGTAATGTAGTCAATGCAAACACAATAACATGACATTTCTGATCTTCTCCTCTCATCTCTGTCCATCTACATATGTCACTGTGTGTCTGTGTCTCTGTGTGTGTGTGTGTGTGTGTGTGTGTGTGTGTGTGTGTGTGTGTTTTTAAAAAGTTA